GGTAAGGGTGGATAATGTTCTTAGCGCCACAGCGTCAATGCCTCCACGGTCAGCAAAAACACATTTTTTGAATGCTCTTTTTGCGTTAAGTATTGTGCAGACCTTATGTTTACTATAAGAACCACAATAAAACCACTTTCCACCGCAGGTAATGTGCATCCAACGTTCTACCGGATCTGTCCATAGGACGAGCTGATAGTGTAGCAGATGCCATTGAGCTGATGTGCCGCAAAAGGGTGTCGGGCATTTTCCAAGTGTGTGAACTGACCTAGATCTAAGAACATTTGTACACACATTGCTACCATTGCCAAGCAGGTCCAGATATTGTTGGAGATCTGCTGTTTGCTGAGGAATGTGTTCACAACATTCACACTTTCATCAATGCAAGCACATCTTTTTTTCAGTAATATTGAGGAACATTTCAGCAATCAAGGAAGTTGACACCGAAATGTTAAAAGCAATAAAGAAATTAAAGCGAGGCTGTTCTTGGGTGCAGATTTTATATCTTGTTTTATTGTTAAGGGCAGCACTGATTTGTTTGCCCCATTATTGAAGCATGCATATCACCTAAGGAATCATGCTCTTCCATCGTTGTGGAGAAAGTCTACTGTAGTACCGGTATACATGAACTCAGCTCTCCTACGTCACGCCACGGTGGTGGCGCGTCGGGCACACTTCCGGTCTGGGGTGGTGGGCAGAAGTCGCGGTGCGAGACATGCATTCCTGCGTTCTTTTGGGAGAAACCAGACAAAAAACCTGCCTTCTCGTCAAAATGCTGCGACGGAACTGTACCAAGAGACTCTGGAAAGGTTTGAAGATCAGTTTTTATGTGTTTCTGCCCCTCCATTCGTCCAAAAACGTGGATAGTACTCGTGACAAGGGCTAACCACACGCTGTCGAACTACGATTGCTTATGCTGGCAACACTTTGTGCTCGACAGATGTAGTTGTGTTCCAACATGAACGAGAGAAAACCGCCAAGTTGTCCGGACCACCCGGGGGTTCAGCGAGTCTTCAAATTCACACGGCCGCCTGATCGTTCAAACTTGTCTGCTTTTAGAGCGCAGCTCTTAGGGGCCCGTTCCCGGCTTGAGCGGCGTCGGCGTAACCAAGGTCACCCCAAGGTCACGTGGCCCCCCAAGGCCATTCTAAGGTCACATGACCCCTCCCCCAGGGTCACGTGACCCCCCCAATGACGTCACCGGCATCCGCATCGTCGTCATCGCTGATGACGATGCGATGACGCCATCATCACTGATGACGTCACCGGCATCGTCATCACCCCCCCCCCCCCCCCCCCCCGCCCCCAGTACCCTTCCCTCCTCCTCAAGAGCTGCGCTCTAATTCGGCGTTACAGGGAGTTAGTTGTAAACGGCTTTCACTTTTTTGTCGTCTGCTCGTTCAAACAAAAGCGGCCCGCAGACCAAACTTTGACCCGGTGATTGTAATAAGAAGTAATTGCAAGCCTCAAAAGATTTAAGTTGGCTCGGTGAAAACAGTAGATAAAAGATGTTGATCATTGGTACCAGTGGCCATCGCCGACTTGTTACGCTCGCTGTGTTCCAGCTTCCCATTTTCAGTATTGACGTCGATCATCGCCGCTACCTTTTACACGTTTGCAGCACGAACGTTGCGACCAAAAATAGCTAGAAGAATCTCATCATGGTTTCGGCGTCCATTCTACGGCGTTCATGCGAATGAATCTCTGCACGTCAAATTATTTACGCAAAGTTCAGCGTCGTAACAAACCTTGATAATTTCGCTCAGGCGATTAAAGTGGTAAGGCATTGTTACGAGGACGTAGAATTGACAATTCCAACACGAAAAAGAGTATGCAAACTCACACAGAAGCCGACGCGACATTCCAATGGTTTGTTGACGCGGGACGCGGTGCTTCTTGCCTGCACTCCATTGCGCATCCGTTCGAACTGTCGTCGGCTCTTTCAAACGACAGCTGCCCGTAAACCAAGTTTTGACCTGGTAATTGTGATAAGAAGTAAGTGCAGGCCTCAAAACACTTTTGAGGGTTGGTTGGGGTAAGTAGGCCAAGTGTAAGTAGATACAAGATATTGATCATTGCTACCAGCGGCCGTCACCGACTTGTAATGCCCGATTCTACTTGCCGTTTTCAATATTGACGTCCACCATCTCAGCTACGGTCCACGCTTTTACAGCCCGAGCGACGTCGCGACTGAAAATAGCGAGATGACTCATCGTGGGAGTCGGGCTTTTGCGCTCATTCTGCGGCGTCCACGTGAAATGAATCGCCGCACGTCGCATTATTTATGCAGTTTTGCGGTGCAACGAGCCTCACTTAATTTTGCTGAAGCCGCTCAAGTAGTCGACATCGTTAGGAGGACGTAGAATAAACAATTCCAATGGAAAAAGAGCACGGGGTTTCACACCGACGCCGACAACAAAGCAATTCAATGGTTTGATTATGGGCGACGGCGAGCTTCTTGCCTACCAACCACCGCGCGGCGTCCGTTAGGGGCACTCTGGTTTGTTTTTAAACATGAGTTGGTGTGTAGGAGGTGGGTGACATGTCTAGGGTAGACAATCACTGCCCCATTTCCTTTCTGTATGTTCGTTTGAAAGTGTTTGAGATAGTTATACACAGACATGGGTCTTTTTACTCCAGTTTTGAACAGAGCACCATTGAACGCAATTTTTTTTAGAAAGTTGCTCAGTAAAAATTGGATTTTGTAAGCTTGAATACACAGTGCCATTTGTTCTCTCTTGGAAGCAAGTTAATATTATTCATTTTGATTTATAACGAGCTTTTGATAAGATGAACCACAAATTACTTTTGTAAAAACCGTTATTGTATGGTGTAGCATTGCCACATTTAAAATGGATTAATAACTAGCAACTTGCAAGATGAGGACGGCAGGGTGAAGCTTCAGTTGCCCTCACTTTAGCACAAATTTCCTACCTTCGGCAATGCTTTGAGCCCGAGCATTTGCAAGACACGCCCATACGTTCTCATTCCGTTAGGGACTATATCTAGCATATTGCCCGAATCGTGTACAGGTGTTGAATAGACTATCACATGTTTTTCTACCAACCTGGGGTGTGCCTTGAGGATCAAATGTAGGACAACAAGAATTGCAGGGAGGAGCCTCCTACATTTGGCAATGCTTTGGCGTCTTGCAAGCCTCAACAATGCATGCGCAGACAAAGCATGAGAAAAGGCAACAAGTGCTTGCTGGAGGCCGGGCATTAAGAGATGCCCTGCGTTTCCCACCTTGTCGGCGACTATTAGCACCGAGATGTTCTGGTGGCATCTTTTTTTGCTCGCAACATCAGAGGCAGTTTGAAACTTCAGCACCATGTTCCAGATAAAAAGAAAAAAAAAAGAAAATGTTTAGCCTTTCCACTTTGGTGAAGAAGGAAGAGCAGCGGAGCTGTAGCTTCTGTTTTCGGTGGTGGCTTTTCAGGCGAGCGATCTGCTCTTCTTTCGTAAAAGAATCTGAAGCGCTTGACGCAGTGGAACTTTAGGTAATAGCAGAACCATTCGCGCTGCTGCGCACATCGCTGCTCGTTCCGTTCCCGCTCTTCTTCCTCCCAAGAAATGTTGCCGCCATCTATCAGCGATGGCAGCAACCAGTTCTCTGGTTGCCAAGGCTGGAAAGGCTGCCTGCCGCGATCTATGAGCGACGGCGGCAAACAGTGTTGTGTCGACCACAGGTGTTGACATTTGTTTGGTACCGGACATGATTCTGGGGAAACTAGCCGTTAACAGCTCTGCTGTAAGAAACTCCTTTCATGCAAGGCTTGTCAAAATATTAGGTGCTGGAAAATATTGGCCATACACATTCAGTCCTTTTCATGTCCTGCAGCCACATTGAAAAGCACTGCAAACAAGTACAATCATGCTCCTGATCTCGTCACAACTGTCTCTCCTCTTGTACAATAAATTCTGCATGCTATGGTCACCAAATGTCAATAGATGCATATGCCAATGCAGCAACTGAAGCCAGCTACAGCCACATCATCTTCCTAATGCCAAATTCCTACCAATGCAACAGTAGCTTGGGCTCGAGCTAGGCAGTCCCCCCTGCAAATAGCTTTATGTTATCCCTTCAATTTATTTCTAAAATTCTATAGACCTTTTCGCCCTCCGTCGCATGGGTGCTGCGATCTTGAAATCACGTGACACAGCGGTCATTAGGTGGCTTCAAATTGTCACTCGTTTCTCCCCTTCGCGTTCTATTCGTTTTTTCGTCGCATTTTACTGCAATTTTACAGTGAAGCTGTATATGACTCCGTTGGTCAGGTTTTTTTTCCGTCTGTTAACAGAACAGTAGTGGACAGAAAAGCATTGTGCGGCGCACCTTGTCTTCTATCGCATAGTTTTGACACTTGTAGTTTTCAACAAGAAAACCACAAGTGTCAAAACCACAAGATAGATGACAAGCCATGCACAAACAATGTGAAGTACATAGCTCCCCGCATGCGTCTCGGTAAAAATTGCGGTTGCGTAAGCTGCCGTGGCAACGGCAACGTACAGCCGTTTATCTAGACCCTTTTGCTGTTTACAAACATGAACTGCCGCTTGTGTCCCAAGTGACTTCCGGTCGCTCAGTCTTTGCAAGCCTGTTGAGCTTGTTCATGTCACCAGTGCTAGAAAGCATAATCTCCAACATACATCAAAGTTGGAGATTTAATGAGGGCATTTGCCTGTACAATTTAATGTCTTGGAGGAGGCAAGTTGGTGTACAAAATATTTGAAACATTTTAACATATCTGCCGTTTCTTCATTCTTTTGGCGCTCACCTGGAGAATTCGTGGTTACATGTTTTATCGACATTTTAGGCAGCAGTGTCAAAGTGGGTTTTGTTCATTCTTGTTATGAATCAGAAGTTTGCTGAGACATCAAACAAACTGAAGCACCGCCTGGTGGCGCTTGCAAAGAAAGGGGTCTATATAAAAGAAGTTTCGGTACACTGCGTTTCGACTGTAAAACGTGGTCCGCAGGTAACGTGCACTGTCATAAAAGAAATACCAACAATTTACTTATATGAAAGACACGAGGGAATGGGGTACAAGACTTGATCCATCAAGAGGCGCTGGGCCTAAAGAGAACTTCCATCTTGCAAGGCTTGATCCACAATTCAGGGTGGTTTGAAACCTATGGTGCATATGCAGAGAACGAAAGTGCCTATTAGGTAAACAGAAACAGTACCTTACCCGAACATGTAGGGCAACGCACAGTAGTCGGGTGCAATAAACTCGCACTTGAGCAAATGTCGGTTTAACAAGTATTTCAGAATAACAAACTTTCAAAAATCTATGGTGGTTTTCCTTTGCATTCTATGCAAAAATGTTTGCTCTACGAAAAACGAATTTCGGAATAGCGAATATTTCAGTTCAACGAACTTGATCGGTGGACCCAGGATTACTGTTGTGATCAGTTCAACAAAGTTTTGTGCTCTGCAGTGCTGGCGTAGCTGATGGCCGCCGCCGCCTTTGCAGCAGCGGTGCGGTAGACAAAAACGAACCATGCGGTGCATATTTTCTTTTCTTTATTATTGGTTCCTTTCGGCCATCTTAGTTTTGGGTAACAACGGCAGTTTGTGCACCCACTTACGTAATAAGTATAACGAAATGGAAGCGGTTGTCTCTCAGACAAATTGAAATACTTTCAGCGTCTGGGCAACGGTCAAAGGCAAGTGAATGTTGCGAAGGACTATCGGATGCTACCGTCGACGTTGTCAACGTTAGTGAAGCAAAAGTCGAAGCTTGAAAGAGAAACTGCGTTCAATCCCAACAGGGAACGGCTCTGCACTGAATATTTCAAGCCAGTGGACAGTGCCGTTGCGGTATGACTTCCTCACAGCAACTAGCTGTGCCAGAGGATATGCAAAAAAAAAAAAAGATACTCTCTGGGCAACTTTGTTACTTCATGCGCTTTCAGAGCGCCGGTGCAAATGAAAATTATTGACTATTTTCAAAATGAGAAAGGCTGCAGCGTAACTGCAATACACTTTGTATATATCAATGTACATGACTCCATAAATTGCATTTCACCCTTTTGACTCAATGTATGCTGTGCCCTATGCTGTTCCATATTCCAGTGAATATATTCAGTTTAGTGGACTCCTAGTTAAGGGAACTATTTCTTTTGAGTCCCTAGAAGTTTGCTCAAGTGGGAGTTTACTGTATAGAGTTCTAGAACTTAAACGATACTGGCTATTGAAGAATATAACAGGCAGCAAAACATTCACCACAACAGAGATCTTGAAACATGCATTGGTAGTCCAGCAAGTTATGTTTCAAAACAAATTTGTGCGCACAAACAAGAAAATTGCCCTTTTACCACACTATTGAGGCAAAGGCACTGGTAAGGCCTCATTCATACAAAAATTGATCACTAACCCGTAAGAATGTCCAGCAATAGGTTTCGTGGCACTTTAGATTCCGATCGTTGTATACACTTCTGATTTTATCCCTTATGGGGAGGGGTGAGGATGAGAGCTTTCTCAAACAAAATATAATGGTGCAAGGTAACTAGTGTAGGTAAATGTTAAAGGGGTCATGAATCGATTCTTCAACTTCCTTCTTAGCTTTCCTCAACTTACAAATTGTGCAGTGTTACCAAAGGTACAGGGGCATAAGTATACCTCTAGCAGTTCAAGAGGAGGAAAAGGAGGAACTCCCCTCTTGCTCATGGCGCTTGGATCCTCATTTTTGTACTCGCACGTCACCATTCTCCCCCTAGGAAATTGGCCCTTGATGCTCGTCGCTCAACATTCAGACAAAAGTTGCTAATCCCCCCCTCCCCAGCCTGTGGCTTCCACAGTACTATGCACAACTAGCATATAAACCGGAATATAGGTTGAATTTATTCTTGAAATTGGACCTGAAAAAGTCGACCCTCGTCTTATATGACGGTCATTAGCGGAAAAACAAAAATAATCTCGCAACACTCAGTGCCTGAAGACGCCATTTTGTTTTATATCGCAATGGCCTAGCACTCGTCCACTTGTCACGATGGTCACGATTAACTTTTACTTGTGCTCCTTGGTTTGTTACATCTACCGCAGCAATAATGAGCGGAAGTAGAAGACAGTTCACAGTAGCCTTTTAGAACAAGGCAATCGCCTATGCAGAGATCCACCGGAATCTTGCAGCGCAGCGAGAGTTCAGTGTATCGGAGAAAAGCATATGCTACTGGCAAAACCAGAGACAAAAACCGGCGGCGTGCAGCAAGGCGAGGAAAACTTAATTTCGTGGAAGGACTGCAGTGTACCCCGAATTGGAAACAAAGGCGGCAAACTTTATTCGGGATCTGTGCGCCAGATCGATACCTGTGATGTCGGAGAGCATCCATATAAAAGGCGTTGAGGTTGCTCGTGCCTCCGAGCTTTCGAGGGCGCAATTCAAAGGGACGGCATCGTCCCTTTAAATTGTGTTAGTGAACTCGTCGTCGGACGAAGGCTCTGAGGAATCTGAGTAGTAACACTCGCATACTTCCTGTTTTATTGAGTGCAAAACAATTAAATAAATCTGCCGTGTTTTCTCGTCCTTTCATATACTTGGACAATTTTGTCACCAAGGTAAGGTTGCGTTTTCTTGCCATAAAAACTTCTTTTGCATCTTGCAACTTGTAAATTAAGGGGTCGACCTATATTCCAGTTTATACAGTATCTTCCGTGCACCCCTAAGCCGACAGTGCTGTGGAAACTATGTGCTCGTTGGGCCGGTCACACTTGTATCTTCAGCCACATGATCACGCTCCCTTGCACATACCCACATATGCAGAATGGGGTCAGGTGATGATGGACAGGAGGGCGGGCGAGGTTTGTCAACTGAAGTCCCAATTTTTCAACCCCGCACGGATGGTGAGAGATCTCACGGTAGCTGATGTTGGTTCTGAACCTTACTTTATCCCATTGATGTATTTCAATGTCTGTGTGGCAACAAGCTGAAAGAAAACTTGAAAATGAAGCACAGGTTGTCGATTGCTTGCTTCACAGAATAAATAGCCCAGCTCGCGTCCGATTTTGCTGCCCGTGGGACGCAGTTTCTTAGCAGAAAATCCCCTTTTTTTCGATTCTCGTTCCTTATGGCGGAAAAACCCCAGTCGTCTGCTCTTGTTCCTCTCCCGAGTGATGCATGACGGGAGTGCATTCTGGTGCACACTTGATTCTCAAGGTGCAGCGAGTGCATAGACGTGTGGAGTGGCGACGCCGAAATGAACACGTGGAGTGTCGGCCGAAACAAACATGCTCCATGTTGCGAGTGGGTACGCATGGGCACGAGTGCCCATGCATACATGTAGTCATACACTGTGCACAAGCATGTGGCTTCGACTTTTATCTTGTTTGCGTGCAGAAGTGGCTTCAACGGCATTGCAGAAATTACACTAGCCTTGACAATGAAGTACAAAAAGGTTTACGCCAAGTCTAGACACTGTTGCAAGATCACCGAGCCAGGAAACCTAAACCGAGCCACCACTAAATGTGTTCCGTTTCAAAATGGTGTAATTGGCAAGACTGAACCGCCACCAAATGTGCTCTGCGGTAGAGCACAAAAGTACATCACCAGACATGAGTGTCCAAAATGTACTTACAATGGCTAGCGGCGCCTCATAAAAGTCATGCAATGACCCTCTGCTTGGCCACTTAAGCCACACGCAGTGCCGTGCAGGGTACAGGACGGCATCCATGGTGCAGTGATCCAGGGTCCCGCCCGTAGTGTTCCGCTGCTGCCTTGGACAAGGTGAAAGCCAGCTCACTGATGTCATGGTCCCCGGTACCTGTGGTGTGTAACCATTGTGTTTAAAGGTTATACAGCCATTGACCGATATTGCAGACCCAATGGGGATCGTGCAGAATTCCGAATAATTGAGCAGTATGAAAAAATGATTTTAGCCTAAAAAATCACTTTATTATTACGACTTAAAGGGGTAGTGAAACGAAATTTTAGCGCCGATCTTGTTGCATAAATGTGGGCTAGGGACAGACACCACCTCGGAAATATAAATATTGCGCTGTAAAACACAGGAGAACTAATTTTAAACATAATTAAACGATTTCAAATTCTCATCTGGTGGATGGGGGGAAGTTCTCGTGACATCACTTGTGCCAAAATAGCAGCGCCGTTCTGCGGCAATACGGCGTGCCGGCAGAATTCGCCTAGGCCTGAACGCGTTTGCAAAGCCTTGGCGGAGAGAGCCAAAGCGTAGTTGGCCACAGTGAGCTCGTTCTCGTTGCGGCTCTTTGCACGACACGGCCCGAGCATGCTTCTGGCACGGCCGGTATTAGTTGCTGCGAGTCGCGAGCTGCAAGCCGACGTTAAAAAGGATATGTTTGAACTACGAGGGTGTCAGCAAGAGCCACGCAAATGCCAAATACCTGTTCACACTGGGAGCGGACACGCGCGTTTGATCGAAGTGCTGGATTCGCTCTGTTAGACTGCGTTTCGGTAAGCGCTTCTGGACCGATCTTTTACGATTGCAACTCGATACTGACATGACACTCGGCAAAGAAAGGTTAGGCCGACATCGCGTAGCTCCCACGAACTGCTATAGCTCGTCAGAATAAAAATGGCATACTAATAACAGAGTGTACATACCGAGTTGCGAAGGTAATCCGTATGGCGTTTATTTGAGCTCTATATCACACAAAACAAGGAGATAGAATCAATGAGAGTCCCTTCTCGACGACAGCGTTCGTCACCGCTGTCTCGGAAAACAAGGAGATCGAGATGACACGGGGAAAATATTGACCTCTGAAATTTAGTTCAGGGATCAAACTACCCATCCGGTAAGGGTCCACAAGGGTCGCGCGGGCATATTCCATTCAGCAGGCCAGCCGGTCATGGACAGGCGGTCTTGGCCAAGGACCGCCGGAGCAACGGTGCGCCGAGTCGATGTTGCTGCTAGGCCTACTATATTCTGCCGAGCTCGCTCGGTCGGCAGAATCGTGGCCGTTGTAGCTCTTCTCGTGTGTTTGTGGATCCTGCGTTCTTGATCGTCGTGGTCTGTTTTAAGTACTCCTTCCTTTTTTCGTCGGGACGCACGAGAAGAGCACGAAGAAAAATAAATGTCCGTTGGTGGCCGATACCAAGTAACTGAGCGACGCTGTCGGCCTTGTTGATTTGATCGTAAAAAGTGCGTAAGACAGCTTCGGAGCTGTCGTAAGACTCTGTCGTAACCTGCGCAAAGGTTACGAATTTCGTTTCGAGAGTACGGGTTTTCTCTCAAATTTGTCGTACGCACTTTTTTCGTCGTGAATTTGCTTTGAGAATCCGGCCTCAGAGCTGGTTTTGTCAGTGCTGCCGTGGTTGCCGACTTGCCGTGGTGCAGCGTGCGTGCAGCCCTTGCATATCTCAAACGGCCACGTTGTCACAGGTCGTAAATCGTCGACGCGCAACCAAGTGGCAACGCTCGTAACCACAACATTCACGCCGTAGCCTTTCCCGACTGGCACAAGTGACGTCACGAATGCGCCCAATATCCCAAGACTCATCGCGCTCTCCGATGGCCGATTTTCGAGCGCGCGCCCAATCGGGCCCATTAGGGTGAAAAATATAGCCATCCGTTCAAAATACAAACGCGCGATTATGATTTATGAATATCATTGATCATATTGAACCTATTTCTGACCATAATCGGTGTATTTCAAGTTTCGCTTCAGTATCCCTTTAAAACGCAAAGTTGCTGCAGCAAGTGATCGATGGTTTGCTGTACGGCATGGTACTGTATGGTACTTCGCATTTCAGCGAGTCATTTTGTCACTGTATACAGACGAAAGCATTCGGACAAGTTACGCGCTCACGGCTGCACAATGCTCGCCAACTGTAGGGCCAGTCGGTAGACTTTCCCCTCGGTGAAGGGCAAAGTCCGGTTTGTAAACGCTGTGCCGCTGGAATAAATGCGCAGATTGATCGCTACTTCCTTGGCGACACAATCACTGCCTTCTCACGTCGACACACGGGAAATACCGCAAAAAGCAGACGCCGTCATGACTTTGCAAAGTAAAACCGGAGAGGCCAAGAGCAGAAGAATTGCTTAGAGTGCTGACGTGCTACGAGGCATCAGCAACCAAAACCTGCCATTTAAAAAAAATATATACTAGTTTCTTAGCAGGACGTGACGTCACGACAACTGACAGCAGTGATTGGCAGGCGGTGTGCATTCTTGCCACTGAATTCATAACCTGTCACCGAATGTAGTTTTTAAACATGGCAGATATAATCTGGCCTGTTTTCGTCCACAATGCTGCCGCCTAGTCTGTCGCATAAATTATTTTTGTTGCTAAGGGGCAATTGGGGCTTTACGTAAACATAGGCTGGACGTGCGTGTGGGAAAAATAACACGAATGACGGCCCCCAACATTGGCTCTTCAAACAAACTGCCAGAAAACAAAAAGGCCAATATGTCAACATTTTTGTCCTTTCCCCATTTTTGGTGGCTGTCGTGTCAGATTGAAGTATAAGTAACTAGTAAAACAAAAATAAATAAAAAAGTACATAACAAAAGGTGTAAATAAACTCTGTAGATATAATACCAGTCCCAATGGTTTAAAGGGATACTGAAGCGAAACTTGAAATACACCTATTATGGTCAGAAATAGGTTCAATATGATCAATGATATTCATAAATCATAATCGCGGCTTTGTATTTTGAACGGATGGCTATATTTTTCACCCTGATGGGCCGGATTGGGCGCGCGCTCAAAAATCGGCCATCGGAGAGCGCGATGCGTCTTGGGATATTGGGCGCATTCGTGACGTCACTTGTGCCGGTCGGGAAAGGCTACGGCAGGCTACGGCGTGAATGTTGTGGTTACGAGCGTTGCCACTTGGTGGCGCGTCGACGATTTACGACCTGTGACAACGTGGCCGTTTGAGATATGCAAGGGCTGCACGCACGCTGCACCACGGGACCACGGCAAGTCGGCAACCACGGCAGCACTGACAAAACCAGCTCTGATGGCGCATTCACACTGGAAGCGGATCCGCGTTCGCGAAGCGGTTGCGGATGCGGTCTGCGAGCGACCCCGTTCAGACACACCAAGAGGCGGTTGGCGGTTTCTCGGCGATCACGTGTGATCTTTCGAGACTTGCGTTTGGCAACCCCGTTTTACAATCCAAAATCCACTTTAATCCACGATGCAAAGCCGAACTTTTGCTGTTTTGCCACTCTGAAGATTTTTCCCGGGATGTTTGCTCGCATCACGAGTTCAGGGGGCGAAAAAAGAAGCATGGGCCCGCCAAACTCGCCTGTGATTCCCTCGACTTCGCCCATAAGCAAAGCCCAGCTAGGCGCGCCTTGCTGACTCAGAACAGGACGCCACCAACCTTTTCTTCGAAGTGCATCCTTCCCGCACGAATAGCTGACCTTGTTTTCGGGATAGAGGGCCAGTTTTCCCCCCTCGTTGTTCGCTCTTATCATTTTTGAAGTTGTGACTGAGCGGTGGGGTGGACCGTGCTGCGGGGAATGTGTTCGGTGCTAGCCGGTCGTGGCTTCGTTGGTGGCGGACTCTCCTCTCGTCACTCGCACGTCGATCAAGTCTACTGTTTGTTTGACATTAAGCTCAAATAAACGCCGTATGGATTACCTCTGCATTGTCTGGTACGTACACTTTATTCCTTGGTTAGGTTCCCTTTCTTTATTTTGTTAGTAGGAAACGTTACAGGTCGAGCTAGCGCAGGTACCCTGCCCACTCCGCGGTAGTACGTTGGCTATGCAATCAAGCTCACGACGTCTCTATCGCCCTTCGTGGTGGTCATGCACGGTGTCGAAAGCTTTCAATAGTTCACGCGACTATCTTAGTGGATAAAAAAAAACTGACGTTCCGGTCGATCAGGGGCGGGTTCCGACGTTCTACGGGCAGAGACTAACAAGGCAGCGTAGCGAGCTTGGGCTGTGGCACCCGGAATAATAAACAAACTCTTACCCGAACCAAATCACCGCTGCGAAGCCCGTTAAAATTGCGACTCAATTCTTTTCGCGGCGAATCCAAGTGACGGACGTGAACATCACGTTTCTCCGTTGATTTGTCGAAAGCTAGGACTACAGCGCTTGGACGCCTCACCAGCGAAGGGTGCCATCTTGTTTCGCAAGTCACTGACGTCACGTCAGCGTCGCGTTGTGATTGGTTGCCGCTTTGCGGTTCGTGAAAGCGGTTGGGAGAAATCGGTCCCGAAGCGGTTGGCAAAAACGCGCTCCAACCGCTCGATCCTAGCCGCTTTGCGGTCGAGAACGCGCGGATCCGCTTCGCGTTTGCGGATCCGCTTCCAGTGTGAACGCGCCATGAGGCCGGATTCTCAAAGCGAATTCACGACGAAAAAAGTGCGTACGACAAATTTGAGAGAAAACCCGTGCTCTCGAAACGAAATTGTCGTAACCTTTGCGCAGGTTACGACAGAATCCTACGACAGCTCCGAAGCTGTCTTACGCACTTTTTACGATCAAATCAACAAGGCAGGCCGACAGCGTCGCTCAGTTACTTGGTATCGGCCACCAACGGACATTTATTTTTCTTCGTGCTCTTCTCGTGTGTCCCGACTTCAACCAGCAAGAAAAAAGGAAGGAGTACTTAAAACAGACCACGACGATCAAGAACGCAGGATCCACAAACACACGAGAAGAGCTACAACAGCCACGATTCTGCCGACCGAGCGAGCTCGGCAGAATATAGTAGGCCTAGCAGCAACATCGACTCGACGCACCGTTGCTCCGGCGGTCCTTGGCCAAGACCGTCTGTCCATGACCGGCTGGCCTGCTGAATGGAATATGCCCGCGCGACCCTTGCGGACCCTTACCGGATGAGTAGTTTGATCCCTGAACTAAATTTCAGAGGTCAATATTTTCCCCTTGTCATCTCGATCTCCTTGTTTTCCGAGACAGCGGTGACGAACGCTGTCGTCGAAAAGGGACTCTCATTGATTCTATCTCCTTGTTTTGTGTGATATAGAGCTCAAATAAACGCCATACGGATTACCTTGGCAACTCGCTATGTACACTCTGTTATTAGTATGCCATTTTTATTCTGACTCGACGTTACGTCAGTGTCGAGCTATAGCAGTTCGTGGGAGCTACGCGATGTCGGTCTAACCTTTCTTTGCCGAGTGTCATGTCAGTATCGAGTTGCAATCGTAAAAGATCGGTCCAGAAGCGCTTACCGAAACGCGGTCTAACAGAGCGAATCCAGCACTTCGATCAAACGCGTGTGTCCGCTCCGAGTGTGAACAGGTATTTGGCATTTGCGTGGCTCTTGCTGACACCCTCGTAGTTCAAACATATCCTTTTTAACGTCGGCTTGCAGCTCGCGACTCGCAGCAACTAATACCGGCCGTGCCAGAAGCATGCTCGGGCCGTGTCGTGCAAAGAGCCGCAACGAGAACGAGCTCACTGTGCCCAACTACGCTTTGGCTTTCTCCGCCAAGGCTTTGCAAACGCGTTCAGGCCTAGGCGAATTCTGCCGGCACGCCGTATTGCCGCAGAACGGCGCTGCTATTTTGGCACAAGTGATGTCACGAGAACTTCCCCCCATCCACCAGATGAGAATTTGAAATCGTTTAATTATGTTTAAAATTAGTTCTCCTGTGTTTTACAGCGCAATATTTATATTTCCGAGGTGGTGCCTGTCCCTAGCCCATATTTATGCAACAAGATCGGCGCTCAAATTTCGTTTCACCACCCCTTTAACAAAGAGGCTGGCTTTCTCAGAATGCCCCCCTCTCACTCGAGTCCGTATTGAATCTTAATATGAAGTTGCCCCGAAAAAGCTGCAGAAAATGCACATAGTGACAGAGCCCATAAAGACCACACCTGCCTTTCACATGGCCTTTCGAACTAGATGCAGTACAGGACGCAGAACGGTACCCATGGGCTAGCTGCAGCTGTAGCCCAGTGCTTGTAGTATCTCGCAGCTGATGGAAGGGAGGGAGGCCAGCTCCTTCATGCCGTGGTACCGGGAAAAACAGTACAGATGAGCCACAGACGTCAAGCGCCTTGAGTATTTCTGTGCATCCACGAAGCCAATCTGGGACAGCAATGACAGAAAACTTCAGTAACACAGTGAACAAAAGAGTAGGCATGCAGGCGAGCTGTGAATTCTGAACACAGCTAAAACCCAAGGCACAAGAAAGCAGAAAGGAAGAGGCCTTTCCACTTCCTTGCATGTCGGGTTTGAGTCTCGCACGGGGTAGCAAAAAAGCAACAATACTGGCTCCCTAGTCTTTTTCTGCGTCAAGAAGCCTTGGAACAAAGAAATCCTACTGGTTATTCATCTTGTTTTCTCTTCTCGGGCGGATTATAGTGCACGGTGCGGAAGCAAACTGCCTCGAAAGGGCTCAACTCACACTTCCAAGAAAATGATTGGCGAGCAACCTCTCCATTGTGTGCTATGTGCAGTGTACGTTTTAAGCAGGTCTGTTTTCTGCTAACACAACAGCAGTAGGAATGTTACTTGTGTCGAGCTGGAGAAGCCATAGTGGGGGCTACCCCAGCTACGCCCACGCTGGCTCTCATGGCGGTTATGTGCAACGCAGACAGCTTTCCCCATTTCAACCGAGTGCCTAGGCAGACACAGAAGCAGCCACATAAGACGATCGAGGGAAGACGCAGAGTTGTACAGGCAAAGAGGGAACGACATAGTGTAGCGAGCTTTTTAGTCCAGGCTATTCCTCCGAGAAATGCAGTCGGTGGAAATGTATGTCAGTTGTTCTTGCCATTAATTTAGGTAACGAATGCAAACATTATACTATTTTGCATCTTTTTCTACTGCAATGCTGGTCACCCGCAACGAAAAAACGCCACAAACTGAAAGAAAGTCTGGTTGCAATGTTAACACGGACACCAAGTCCACCAGGAAAAGCCATCTGTGCCATCCACCTGTTCATAAGCGAGCTGGAGTTTATCAAAGCACAACCGAGACTCTCTCGGGAGTATTTGGTTCCTTGTCACTAGTTATTGAATGAAAACACAGTGCAGTGTTGATTACTGTCAGCGCAGCCTTGCCACTAGCACTGCTGTCACTCAGGGTGGCACATATTTCGCTGGCACGACATGGCCTGCGAGCCACATATATCCCTAAAAGGAAGCTGCATAGAATGCACTTACCGTGGCTAGCGTCGCCGCCCAGAGAGCTTGCACAAAACCTCCGCATGACACGCAGTGCAGTTCAGAACAGAGCAGCACTGGCTAGCCAGTTGCTGCGAAGGCTTGCAGCGCCTTGCTGCTGCAAGTCACCTCCTTCATGCCTTGTGGTACCCATCAGTTTCAAAACAAACGCTGATGAACCACGACCAGCCATCACCTGTAGCACAAGGGGGAAAAACATATGAATGTGCAGTCTCCTATCTGTTTGCTTTTGTCTAACGTCTCTGAGTTTTCTTTGAGAAGAAAACAGCAATGACACTTCTTTCACAGTAATGTGCAAAAGAAACAAAAACGGCTCGGTTATTATACTGCCTCGTAAGTTGTGTGCAGCAAAGGCACGGGTGCGAGGGCACAGCTCTGCAGAATGTCCTTTTGCGCGGGTACTCGTGCAAAAAAGGCGCTTTTTACTGTCATGTGCTCGGGCCTGCGCCTCTGCTGCACACAACTTATGATACAGAGTGTATACACCAACTCATGTTTACAAACAAACCGGAGCGCCCCTAGCGGATGCCACCGGCGCCGCGCATGCGCGGTGGATGGTGGGCAAGAAGCCCGCCGTCGCCCATAAACAAACCATTGAATTGCGTTGTTGTCGGCGTCGGTGGGAGTCCCCGTGCTCTTTTTCGCGTTGGAATTGTTGATTTTACGTCCTCCTAACAATGTCTGACTACTTGAGCGGCTTCAGCAAAATTATCGAGGCAAAACTTTGCGTGAATAATGTGACGTGCGGCGATTCATTTCACGTGGACGCCGGAGAATGGGCGCTAAAGCCTGACTCCCACGATGAGATTCCGCTCGCTATTTTCAGTCGCGACGTCGCTCGGACTGCAAAAGCGTGGACCGTAGCTGAGATGGTGGATATCGATACTGAAAACCGCAAGTAGAATCGGGCATTACAAGTCGGTGATGGCCACTGGTAACAATGATCAACAACTTCTTGTATCTGTTCACACTTAGCCGACTTACCCCAACCAACCTTCAAAAGTGTTTTGAGGCCTGCACATAGTTCTTATCGCAATTGCCGGGTCAACGTTTGGTTTACGAGCCGCTGTCGTTTGAACGAACTGACGACAAAAAGCAGCCAAGTTTGAAAGAGCAGACGACAGTTCGAACGCACGCGCAATGGAGTACGGGCAAGAAGCACCGCGTCCCGCGTCAACAAACCATTCGAATGTCACGTTGTCGGCGTCTGTGTGAGTCTGCATACTCTTTTTCGCGTTGGAATTGTCGATTCTACGTCGTCATCGCAATGTCTTACCACTTCAATCGCCTGAGCGAAATTATCAAGGCTCGTTACGCCGCTTAACTTTCCGTAAATAATTTGACGTGCGGCGATTCATTCGCATGAACGCTGCAGAATGGACGCCAAAACCATGATGAGATTCTTGTAGCTATTTTCGGTCGCGACGTCGCTCGTGCTGCAGAAGTGTAAAAGGTAGCGGCGATGATCGACGTCGATACTGAAAATCGGAAGCGGGAACAGACCAAGCGTAACAAGTAGGCGATGGCCACCGGTACCAATAATTAACATTTTGTATCGACTGTTTACACCGAGCCTACTTAAGTCTTTTGAGGCCTGCAATTACTTCTTATTGCAATCACCGGGTCAAAGTTTGGTCTACGGGCCGCTTTTGTTTGAACGAGCAGACGACAAAAAGCAGATAAGTTTGAAAGAGCAGACGAAAGTTCGAACGATCAGGCGGCCGTGTGAATTTGAAGACGCACTGAATCCGTGGGTGGTCCGGACAACTTGGGGGTTTTCTCTCGTTCATGTCGGAACAAAGCAAATACATCTGGCGACCACAAATTGTGGCCCGCACACGCAATCGTAGTTCGATAGCGTCTGGTTTGCCCTTTTCACGGCTGCTATCCACGTTCTCGGAAGAACGGAGGGTGCAAAAACACATGAAAACTAATCTTCAAACCTTTCCAGACTCTCTTGGTAAAGCCCCCATCGCAGCATTTTGACGAGAAGGCAGGTTTTCTGTCTCGTTTCTTCCGAAGGAACACAGGAATGCATGTCTGGCACGGCGACTTCTGCCCACCGCCCCAGACCGGAAGTGCGTCCGGCGCGCCACCACCGCGGCGTGACGTAGGAGAGTTGAGTTGGTGTATAGCACGCCTCCGTGAGCACTCGCGTACGGCGAGAAATCCATGATATCCAGGAAACCTCGCAAGGGTGCACGAGGCTGCAAGTGCGCCAGAATGTGCAACTGGAGGTGGTGACAGAATGACATAGTTTGAGAACATGAGTTTACTTGGGTCAAAATATAGAAGCGAAAACCGTAACTTCCTTGCCGGCTGATGTTTGGAGCCATCGGAGCACGATCAACTATTTGTTGTGATCGGGGTATTACGATCGGACGCCGGTTGGTAAAGATTTGAAAAACCCGGAAGAATAAAACCTGTTGGGGGCGAAGACAGACAGCGCAGTTCCTTGTTGACATGGGATGTAATATCAAACACATTATTCCGCCGGATCAAACGTTTTTGTTTAATCAGGCTTAGCTCGGAAGTCTGCCGGCAGGTCTGGGATGCGGTTTTTAGAGCTCTTTTGGCGGGCTTTCAGGTTTCTGCGATGCGTGTTTTCATCGTGAGCACAGGCTCAAACAATAGGCAGCGGCGCCAAATGTATTTGAAACGAAGAAGCAGCTCGGACACGTGGAACGAACACATCGAAATCACATCACAGGAAAACGCAAATCACTCACCTTTTGTTCGACGATGGTTCGCAAGACACGATTCAAATCGACGACACTCGATTCGGTCACGATATTCAGGTAAAGGACGCAACAACGTACGCCTTGCCGTTCCTAATAACTACATAAATACGACGATACGACACGATATCAAACAAAGGAGTCGGAAAAACGCAATCTGAAGCGCAGAAACGCGGTCCCGCGGTTGCAAAAAGCAAGAAAATAAACAAAATAAAAAAAAAAAATAATACGTCAACAAAGTAAAAATAAAAAAAAAAAGTTTCCTCGCTAAAAACCGTGACGTCACAGAAAACAAAACAAACAAAAACAAGCAAAACAAAATTTTTTTGTCACTTGACGTTATATTTGTGACGTCACTTCCGGTGACGTCGGGTCACGTGACTTGCCATTATTCCTCCTCCGAATCGCTCGTGTCA